CAAGGAACAGCAGGGCACGCATCATTTGGAACAAGGTCTCGGGGCTGAACTCCTCACTGACACGAGCACGCCTTCTCTCGAGCACATGCCGCATGCACTGCACAACTAGCCCACAAGCACACGATAGACACCTACATAACAAACCCCGACCCCAAGCTGAAAACATAGTGATCTCTGGGCCGTGGGCGACTCCATTTCCTCCAAGTCAGCCACCCCACCAAGTCTGACGTCCTGCTATTCTTGCAGGCATCGCGGCTTTGCTATCCAATATGCCTCTAAAAGGCTACTGCAGCACACAAAAGCTGTTGGCAAGCTAGCGGCCTATGTCCGAACGTTTTCGGTGTCTTCACTGTACACATAATTTGAAAAAACGTGACTGCAACTCCACTTGGCCAGGCATATTCCCGTGTGCAAATCTCGGCTCGTAGTGCGGAACTCAAGAATATCACCATTTGCTCTGAGTTCGTTCTCAACTTCAGGATCAGCATCAGCACACAGAAAAAATACATGTCCTGCTCTTTCTTCGCCTGGTTGACCTGAACCCCAGACTTCACAGGTGGAGTATCGAGCGTGCCAAGTCACAAGTAGAAGCTACTGGCCATCTCCGTGCAGTGCCTTCTCTTCAGCGGCCTTACGGAAGACTCGCACAACCTGATTCTCACGACGCATGCTTGCTCTGCAGTCGACATCAGGAATTGTTGTCAAATGCCTGCTCCAGCGACTGGATGTTTGCGGCTTGGCATGTGGCTCGGTATTGGTGGAGACCTGCAAAAGCAGGTGTCACGATCTCCTTACACCATGCTGGACTTTCGATCTGTTGCAGCAGGCCTGCCTTTTGGAACCATCCCAACTATAGCTGGAAACACAATGAGGGACATCGGCCCAAATGCACCAAGCCCATCCACAAACACATGCTGCCAGCAACCACTGGACCCGGTGTCAGTTAAATGAGTGCAGGCTCTGGGTGTTGTCGCGCCTTCTCTTGCAAATCGCATCTTCTGAAGCTCGACGCCTTGCAAAGTGAGATCACAGCCATGTTCGAGGATTTGGGTGGCAGTTATTTTCTTTGTGGCGGATCTGTCAACATGCCTTAAAACTGTTCAAGAAAAGTATCACCATCCAAACCAACAAAAGCGTGACGGCCACCATAATCAATATCAGCATCAGGTTTCAGCACCTGTGCTAAGACAGCGGCACAGCTGAAGATGGCGCTCGATGATCTTTTCCAAGGTTGGAGACCTGACCAGCTGCGTACAGAACAATATTATTCTCAAAGACACAAGAGAACCAGCAACTGAAGCAGCGCCAAGTTCTGCTCTCTTGGGAGATGGCCACTGATTCTTCCAACGCTTGTGGAGGATTGCAAGGTGCAATGTCTCCAGAGCTTCGAATTGCTTGCCCACCTCGGTTCCAGCAGAGAAGCTTTCACATCTCCGGTCAGCGTGCACCATGCGAGTAACATCAACATGGCATCCTGATGCATACATACCAACCTCCCACAAACTACGCTAGGTTAGGAAAGTCGCAAAGAAGTCTTCTGGTGACTGAGAAGACCCTGCAAGGCATCAAACCATCGCCTGGGCCGCATAGCCACTGACCAAAACATCTCTTTTTGCTATCTCGCAGCTTTCAAGCACTTCGCCGTCGGCACTTGGCCAACTTTGACCACTCCGCGCCACATGCGACCCTAAAGGACCAGCACAGCAGGGCTCTGTGGTCTCGCTGGGCTGCGCCTCCCTCGTTCGAGGCCACGCCAATCAGGGTATACAGTCAAGGAGTATGCGAAAGAGTGAAGCATTTTGAGTTAGGTTACCATCCGGGCGGCGGTGGTCCCCAAGGAGGTGGGGCACCCCAAGGGTCTGGGTGAGGAGGCGGATGTCCCCACCAGGCCGGAGGTGGCGGATGATGCGCGGCCTGCATCCACGGATCCTCAAACTCCCGGCCCCGCTCACGATCTCTTCGGCCACCTCCTTTCCTGAGAGGGCAAGGAGACATTGCAATTCATGATCTTCTACTCCCCCGTATGATCACTGAGAATGTCATGTTGTTTGTTGCTGAGCCACTCTTTCAAGGTCTGGATGATGTTGTCGTGAATGTCGTGGAGCCTGCAAGGCACAAAAAGCTGCAGAAACAATGACCGCATTTTTTGCTGAAAAATGCCCTTCACGGAATGGCTGAGGCAAGCATGGTGCAGTGCCTTCCAACTCCCTAAATGGTATGGTGCTGGCATGAGGTCCTAGGAGTTGCCAGCTTCTGGTAATTGACTGTCGCCATGCAGCATCAAAACCTGAATTTTGCTTAGGTCCTCCTCTTGTCTTGTGGTGGGCGTTCTTTCTCCCATGACTGCCCATTTATTCAGATCTTGTGGTGTGCTGGGCCCTCTCCCTTTATCATCAGCATTGCTTGCTGAAAAAAGTCAAACCTCCTCCTCCCTTGTGGCGTTTCCTTCAATGACTGCCATGATTCTTCCACTCGCAAGAGTATGGTGCAGGCATTCTGGTAAATGACGGTCTCAGGTCAAGCAGATCTTCCTCCTCCCCGCCCCGTAGTGTGGTGGGATTTCTTTCTCCCATGACTGTTAATCAATCCGCCGAGCCCGGCCTGACAGGGCGAGTGCCCACTGAAGCCCCTCCCCGAATGTACTTACCAGCGCTTCACGCTTGACGTGAGGGCACGGTCCACCCTCTGCCCCTCGTTTTGCAAATTGCCTCCCACCCCCTCCCCCGAGTCTGGTGCCTGTGTGCACACACAGTGACAGGAAGAAAAAAAACAAATAGCATGGCAGAAAAAGCTTGGCAGGTAAGGCGGCTACCTGAAAAAACTACAGGCAAGCAGCAGCAGCAGCAGCAGCAGCAGCAGCAGCAGCAGCCCATGCACACGGACAGAGCTGTGAGCCCGTTGCAGAGATGTTGTGCAGAAAAAGCTTGGCAGCGCAAGCAAAGTAAGGCAGCTGCTTGACAGAACTACAAGCACAATGCAGCAGCAGCAGCAGCAGCAGCAGCAGCAGCAGGCCTTCATCAGAAGGGCAGACAAATACTTGAGAGCGTGCAGTGGGTTGACCCGCAAGGATGACACACAGCCCAAAACGCCAGTCAGGACCTTGCACCGACCAGGGAGAAGATATTAAGTCCAGGCGAGTAAAATTGTCGTATCTGGCCAGGGAGGCTGCGACCTGCAGCAGGAAGTCCAGCTGGGCTTGGTAGGAGGTGGCACAAGCTCTTGGCAGCGGACAGGCCAGATTCCACGACAGCATTTGCCACAGGAAAGATGCACGTGAACAGGCGTGAGTTTCCACCAAACACGTGTAATCTGTGCCATAAACTCCCAACAAGCAATGAGGCGTTGGGGACAGGCAGTGGCAGAGAACCAGTCCAGCAGGAAGGATAGGTCAGAGGAGAAGATTTGCTGAAATTTTGGGGCTGCCGCCGGCCTTAATTAGTCCAGTGCTGGCTACGCTCTTGGTGGTATCTCTCCGCATGCTGAAGGTCTTATCTAATAGATCCAAAAAGATCCAAAAGGTGTAAATTTAAATTTTACACCCCTCGAAAAATTTGCCACCAAAAATGTACACCCTATTGGGGGTTTACATCTACTCCCAAATTTACACCCTGGTCAGCAGGGTGGATGTTGTTATGGTTCTTGCATCGATGCTCCAGGAGATCGGACGCAGGCGGGGTGGATGGTATTTTTTAAGGCACGGACTGGATGGCTACCGGTCATTATGGTTCTGGCATTGATGCTTTGGGAATGTACGCAATCGAAGCGGATGTTATTGTGGTTCTGGCATGGATGCTTTGGGGCTTTGTGAAACGTATGCAAGCAAAGTGTGATGCTCTGGGAAACCGCACGTAGGCGAAGTGGATGTGATTGTGGTTCTGGCGTGGCTATTATGACTATTATGGCAGATCTTATTTGTATGGTTCTGGCATGGCGGCTCTGTCCGTCATGGATACTCTGAGAAACCGGACGCAAGCGGGGTGGATGTTATCATGGTTCTGACATGAATGCTCGCCCAAAAGCACGACGCGTGGCGGCACCAGTGCTCTTGAGGCCTCGGAAGCTCCCGAAGTGCTGTTCTTGCTATGCAAGCCAATTCCGGCGGGCTTGGGCGGAAAGCGTTTTTGCGCTTTCACGTCTGTACACAGCCAAAAACAAGAAATTAAAACATACCAAAGCATTTTTTAGGGCCTGGCAGCAAGAGCAGGCCTGGCTTAGCTAGGCGTGCATCCGCACTGGGCCACCGCCACAGTCTGAAGGCCCGTGCCGCCGACCCTGCATCATTGGACCTCCGTTTCCCTCAGCGCCCCCCCAGACCCCACTCCAAAACCAAGCTCAAATTCACATGCATTCCGCAGGCTTCCTCCCCACGGATGGATGTTTGAAGGACTTTTGGGTCTTCCAGAGCCCCCAAACAAGGCATTAAACAAGGCATTAAAGGCACACAAATGTTTAAAAACTTGCCGCAATGCCCATCGAACCCGGGCCAGCAACTTTTAGCCTTAGATTGGAGAAGAGGGACCCCGATGATGCTGATGCTGGCCTTCTCTGTCAACCTCATCGCCATCATCGAAGCAGAGCTTCTCCACGTTGACGGTTCTAGGCTGTCCCTGTTGCCTCATGTGGTCTAGTGAGTCTTCTTTCTCAAACCTGTCATCATTGGTTTGTTCCCGAAAGCATGCAGGTCTTCTCCCTGCCCCTGTAGTGTGGGTGGTTGTCTTCCTTCAATAGCTGTCGTCTTTCATTACTGAAGTCTTTTAGAGCATTTCCACATCACCCTGTGGTGTGGGTGTCTTTACCCCTCCCACAGCTCTCAGCATTATTGAAACCGACTGTCACCCTGCAACAATGGGCTGTCCTTGGGTGGAGCCTGTAGCAGTTCAGCACTGAGTTTTTGTTTTAGGTTTGTCAGATTTTTCTCGATCCTGTGTTGCGGGTGCTTTTCTCTCTTCCCCTGTGGCATGGGTGGTGGGGCTATCCATAACTGGTGGCAATTGTGAGATTGACAACATCCAAAAGAATTTCGCATCGAGGATCGCGACCAGGACGCCCACCATCCTTGTGACCGTTGGCACGTTTGACACCCACCATCCCTGTGACTGCCAGCACTTTTTGGGTTTGCGCCGTTAAGAGACAACTATGAGGATCGTGACCTGGACGCCCACCATCCCCGTAATTTTTGAGGATTGGTCAGGAGGCCTTACCTAGGGTGGAAAAGGGGGATGGCTGGACAGGTGACAACACACGATGCGTGCATGCATGCTAACGGCTGCTAGCGCAACTTCTGCCAAACTCGTTCCAAAGCTGTCCTTCTTTCGAGCGCTTCCTTCAATTTCGGCACGGCACTGTCATCGGCCTGCGCAGGAAACTTACAGCTGCCACAGCAAACCAGACCATCCATCTGTGTTCATTCGCATTTTTATGCCAGCACCGTGCAGCATGTGGGGGCCTCGGCGACAAAGTGCACCCGCTGAGAACTCGAGAACTTATAATCTGAATGACCTAAATCCTCACCACGCAGGTGGATCCAAACCTTGCAGCCACAGAGAAGCAAATGAGCTTTTTCCGTCACAGCAGGAATCATGCACAACCTGGACAATGCATCAAAGGAACTGCGCCGCTCTCTTCCTGCAACTTCTTGATGGCATCGCCTCTGGACCCAACCAGTCTGGCGATAATGCTATCCGGGTATGTCGCAATAGTTGCTTCATTCTTCCTGAGCAAGAGATGTTTGCAGCAAGGACTTTCATGTCCATAGCACCAACCTTTTGCTAGGCAGCTGACCCGCCCCAAAGCCCAATTTCCGGGATTCGGGGTTCCCGCATGCTCATATAACAACTTGCACTTGCACTTCTTGGGTTTTCTACATAAATCATGTGTTCACTGCGTCTCACATTTGCGCTTTGATTGTTTTTCCTTCCATAGTAATTCCACATGATTCTGTTTTGTGGAACGTTGTTACCATCAAATGTCGTGAATTTCCACTTCGCATCCAAAAATCTACTCATATCTCTTCGCATGATGTTGGCAGTTGGCCTGAACCCGCTTGCACCTTCGCTCGAAGCCAGAATCGGCCAAAACCCTAACCCTAACCCTAAACCCTGTACCCTACCCCAACGGGATTGTTGAAATGCTGGTTGCAAACGGCTGAGGCAAGCTTTCACTGTGCAGTTCTGCCGTCTTTGATAATCTCATGGTCGGACGAATTTGGAAAACACTCTTCCTAAATGTACATATTCGTTCTGCTTGGCAACGAAATCTACGGCCTTGTGCGAAATCTCCATTTGGAAGTTTTTGCTGTGGAAGTTTTTGCTGATGGTATACACAAGCCTGTGTGCCTGCAGAACAAAGTTTGAATTTTCAGTGGCTACGCAATTCGATGTGCAGGCTTATTTGGTTTGTTTTCATTGTGAGCTTGACCTGCAAATGCAGGACGAGCTGTCTAGCACTTTCCTAAATGCCGCTGGGCCATCGGAGCTCGCTTTGACGGCAGAACTGCCACTGACTGTCCTCCCCGGCCAAAAACACGTGGCTGCGCAGGAGCATCCATGCTAGTCCTAGACGTTTATGTTGTAATGCTGGCTGAGATGATTAAGTTCATGTTACCAGGGCGTTCAGTTCCCAGAGATGCTACCCAAGCAATTAGCATTCGGGCGCATCATAGCAAATCCACAGTCTGGGGAATCCATGCTGGCCCAAACCAGTGCGTGCATGCTACTATACAACGTGCGATTCCCAAAGCATCCATGCTGGCCCAGGAGCGTCCAATTCCCAAAGCACACATGCTTGCTCAAAGATTACGCTCACGTTGCAGGAGCTTCCTTTCTTGAAATATCGACCAAGTTACACTGTTTGTGCGCTTGCTGCGTAACATGAAGGTCCAAGGCCCACTAGCCTGCAGCTGGCAAAAGCCATCCTCGTCGTTGAAATCGTGCTCCAAAGCAATGCTCAGCACGCACTTGACTTAAAAGTTATCAAGTACAAGGAACTGAGGTTCAGCATTCTGAGGTAGCACAATTTTGCTACATGTAATGGGATGTAAAACACCAGACAAAGCGGGAGAATACTTCAGAAATTGCAGCATTTACCCACTTCCGGAAATCGCAGACACAGGGGCGCTAGGTAGGCAGCGCACCTGTTTGATTTCAAGCTATTTTGGTCGATCCAAGCGTCTTTGAACGTTGAGATGACAGCACTCGCTCGGACTCTGACCAGGAGCCGAAGCCAGCCTCCACTGCACGGCATGCCGCGCCATGGTCCCTGAACTTCACGTAGCCTTTGCGTGGGCCGGGGATCGGAAGGACATAGATGTCTTCAGTCGAGCCGAAGGCATTGAGGCACGTGTCCATCAGGTCCTCGTCTGGAAGCGGGTCAACGAATAGTTCGACGTCCGTGGGAGCAGGCTCAACATCCGGCCTATTTGGCATTCTCAACTCGTCAATATGTATGACGTGTATTTTGCCTTTTTTGCTTCCCCGATCGCGGTCACGATCTCGGTCCCGACTACGCGATCTTCTACGCTCTCGACTCCTGCTTCGGGAGCGCCTCCGGTCTCGCCGATCACGGTCGCGGTCTCTGTCCCGCTCCCTCTCCTCGCGCCGCCTGCGCTCTTTCTCTAATCGAGCTTTCTTTTCGTCGCTGTCATCCTCACCATGCGAGAATTTGCACCGATCACCACGCGTGCAGCGATCCATCCTGTAGTCCTGAGACTCTTCACGCTACCTACCCACCCTACTCCTGCATTACACATCTGCACAGCTGCACTGGCGTCCTGGCACATTTCAATGCCATCCACCTTCCGGTCTGGATAGTCCTTGCCCGGTCTGGGTACCTCCTCCGTCTCATCAATGTCATGCGACAAGCCGTCCTCGTCTTCCTTAACAAGATCAACTGACAAGAAAACATGTTTTTAGTTTGGGCTGAACAACATTTCACACCATATCAAAGAGACGTCTCTCCTCTCAAGTCAAGTTTCAAGAACGATGTGCAAGGGTTTTCCTGCAACCTTTTGGCCCTGGAGCTCCTTCCAGGTTGACTCTGCGAACTGCAAGCTGCATTGTCAATTGGTCCAATAATAAAAGTCTACAAGTTTCAAGGTGCTACAGTTGCTGTGTCACAGCTCCTTTGCAGCTTCTCTTGCAGTGCCGAAGTCACGCATCCTCACACGTGCCCCGCCACCATTTCCGCCTTCGCCCTCGCCGGGCCCTGGTACCATTTCGATGCCTTGCAACCAAGTCAATTCATTGACACTTGCCTGCAACCAAGCAATAGTCTGAACAAAAAGCGCGCTTCATCTGGAGCACGTTCTTGCTGATGTATACTGAGAGCCAGGCTAACGAGGGAGCTTGGCTTCACTGTGCCGTGCAACAGCGCGCCAATGTCTGAGGCTTGCCATCTGGCAGGAAAATCCTGGATTAGAACAGATCCTGGCTTCCCATCAGCCACATTCTGCATTGGAGGGTCGCGCAGCTCGATGCTGATAATGGATTGTAAAGCATCCACAGCAGCTTTTGCTGCCTCCTCTTCTTCAAAGGCACCCACAGCTTTCCGGTGTCCATCTATCAAAATTGGTGCCAATGTCAACGATCCGAAGACCTCGAGCTCTTCAGCTAGCTGTGCTGTCAAGTCCTCGGTCGACTTGGACTCCCAATCAGAGGGAAAATCCGCCAAGGTCACATACTGACCCTTGACCAAAGGCAGCGCCGCCGCACCTCTGCGCTTTGGGCAGTCTTTCATCAAGTGGCCAGCAATGCCACAAATATGGCAAGCTCTCGACTCCTGTCCTTCTACCACTCGCCCCTCAGGGTGTGAGTACAAGCAGTCCGCACGTTTACATGACACACCCTGGCGGCACATGCCCTTTGAAGGATCGTCATCTACCTCACGGCCTTGCGGATGAACGAAGAAGCAACCCTGTCGCTTGCATTTCCGTCCAAATCTGCAAATGGTGCTGTTAGGATCCTCATCGATCCCACGTCCTGTCGGATGGGTGTCTGTGCACTGCGAGTTTTTACAGGCTCTGCCATACTTGCATTGGATTCCGCTGGTGCCTTCCCACGGGAACTGCTTGCCTGTTGTATTTGCAGGTACTGCATTCCCGCCAGCTTTTGGTGCTGGACTAGGGGACGTTGCCGCGGCTGCTGCATTTGGCGCCACCACCGGCAAGAGGCCTGGGTGAGGAATCAGCAGCATGCCTGGGGGTGCAACCCCGGGTGGCCCAGGCAGTGCACCAGGAGGTGGTGGAGGGGGCTTCAAAAGGCCCGGAACGGGAGGAGGCGGCTTTACCATGCCTACTCCTAGAGAGGGAGGAGGAGGTGGCGGCGGCATTCCGGGCATCATTCCGGCAAGTGCCGGACCATTTGGTGCGGCCAAGCCTGGCGCTGGCAGGGACATGGCCGTCTTGGCATACTCCGGAGGGAGCACCATACTGCTATGTTAATGAGCCCCTCTTTTCGAGCCCATGGCTCCTTGGTGTCAGCCAAAGCTGCGGGAATGAGGACAGGAACGCATTGTGCACAAAGTCTCAACACTGAACATACATACTCACACGGCGGACACCCGCAACTGGCGGCAAACCTTCTTGCAACTTGACTTGCACCTGTCAGGACCTGACTGCACTTCCGAGGACGCAGCTTCAAGAAGCTCCTCTGCGCGCTTGAGCGCATTCTCAGGCTTGACGAAACTTGTCATGCTGGCCTGGTGAAAGAAAGTCTCAGCATCAAAACCGACACCTTGCACATCTTTGCAATACTGCACCCTAGACAGAGCTGGCCTTCAAATCAAAACTTAACCGCTGTGCGTTGGCTGTCTGCGGCCTCAGGAAAGGCATGCTCCAAAAAAAGTTCAGGTTTTACAGCGCACATTCAGGCATACAAGGTGAAGCTGAGATGCAAACAATGACCTAGTCAGGCACACAAGCTGGTCGTACGGAAGTGGTGCGCTTGCAGGACTCGTTGTCTAATGAGCCGCAGCGCTGCACCGCATAACTTTCCAATTCCAGACGTCGCTGCGACAAGTGTTGCTGAAACAGCACCTCCATTCACCTGCACCTGTCTCGCAACACACTGCTGAACCTAAAAAATCTAACTAACACTTTTTTCTAGGCTTGTAAATGCTGCCGGAGCATGCGAAGGTGAAACTTTGACTGGAATTTTCCGAGTATTGCTAGACAGTGTCTACAGCCAGATTCTTTGCCAGCTCCTGCAACCCAGGTGAACTTGCGACTGGAATCCCGCTGGTCAAGGCCACCACATGCAACCTTGAAGCAAAACCATTTTCAAAACAAGCAATCTAATTCAATACCGTGTCGGTGCAGTCAGAGCTTTGCGGTACATCTTCACCGCATCTGCCACGACGCGATCCCACGCGAACTCTGCCTCTGCATGTGCTCGCGTGGGTGCTTTCAATCTTTCAAGATCGGAGATACACTCCAACACAGCCCTCTTTGCGTCTTCCATGTTCAAAGGCTCGTAAAGCTTACCGCGCACTCCATCACCCACCACTATGGAGATCACTGGTAATCGAGGCGCCACTACCTAGGTAAATTGCAACGGAAGCAAAATTCCTGCAAATGCTGAGCGTGCTGCATCTTGGAAAACTTTTGGCTGGCTGATCCTGAGGCTGCGGCTGCAAGGCCTGCAGCTTGCGCCTCTAAGAGAACCAGATCACAACCTCCTGTGACCGTTGGGTTGAAGAGTATGTCAGAAGAGGCATAGACTTTGGCAAGTTCTTCCTTGCCCAAACGACCTGTGAAAACCACGTTGTCGAAGCCTTCCAACTGACTCTTAATGTCGCTGTCTGCTGGACCACTGCCAACAATGACCCACCGACATTTGTTTTCCAAGCCTGCATCTGAGAACTTCTTAATCAAATCCGGAAGCAACTTGATGTTCTTCTCATATGCCATGCGCCCAACAAAAGCCACTACTGGCAAGTCAGGTCGTCCACCACTGATCATCTGCCGCGTCGCTTCTGACCTTGCTTCTGGTGTGAAGTTGTTGACGTCGCAACCTGACTTCCAGAAAAATTTGCAATTGTCGTCCACGCTCTGTAACCAAGGCGTCTCATTCCTCATCGCGTCATCGACCATCATGTGAGTGCTGCACAAGTTGCACATGAGTGTGCCGAAGGCCCGGAGCACGGATATCCCGATCAAGGGCGCTGGTTGAGGACAGAATTGCACATAGTGGTCAATCCGTGTGTGATGGGACCAGACATACGGAATGTCCAACAACCACAACACAAAACTTGTAAGCAAAGCTATTGGGCACGTGTCAAACAGGTGGACCAAGTGCGGGCGGAAAGTCAAAGCTCGAAACAGCGCTGGACTCGGAAGCGTGAGCGAATGACCTTCAATGCAAATGCAACTGCACATGCAACTGACACGATTCGACCATAAAGTGCTGAGTCATGGACCCAAGGTCTTCTACGTGCTGCTGGGGACATTTCACGTTACACATGCACATCACTGCCCATCTTTCTGCTCAGGTTTTTACGGTTAGTCTCTCTGACCTGTCAAGTCCTGGCCGCACAAGAACATGCAACGTCTGCCCAACTTTAATCCCACTCTCCAAGTTCGCTACGGGTGATACCTTTCGAAGGCAATCTGTTGCAAACAAGAATAGCAAGCACAAACTCAGTTTGCCGTGCAAGGTTTACGTCGGAATGATATGTTGAAACGAAATTTGTTTTGTCTTAACGATCTCCATGAAACGATTCCTGTGTCCGTTCCCATCCTTTACACGACAGTTTGAAAAGGCATCAAGCGTGGCTTAGGCTGGCACCGGGATAATTCCCACCCATGCCAGCTCCGCGTGTCACATCAACACCGAACAGCTTGTCCGGGCCAGCCACGGAAGTAAAAACGTGAACCTGCACATGAGGGCCGCTCAAAACAGTCGTAGTTGGCAAGGGCTGCATTTTACTGCAAAATCTGCTGTACACTATTTCCTGGCCTCATGTCCCATGGCCTTCAACTGTTGGATTGTGTTCGTAGTGAAGGTCTGCACGCCGTCCATATATGGATAAAAGCTATCCCCGAGACAAAGAACTCTCAATGAGTCACCCGGCGGCGGTCGTGGAGACTTGAAGTTTTCACTGAGCTTCGCTAAGCCCAGCTTCATCAGGAACAGGATGGCCGCACAGCACAGGAATCGCCACACGTGGCACAAAGAAATCGCAAAGAACAGAAGCGGGGCGATGGTCCACTTCAAATGCAAGGCGATTGGGCTGGAAGCAAACAGCTCCGCCGCCATTTTGCAAGCAAAGACTGCCAAAATGGCAATCATCAAGCAAATCTTTGAAACATCGCCAAAGTACACAAAGGCAATGAAGAGGATCGTCGGCAGCGTGTAGAACACGGTCATGACACTGGCGGAAAACACAACTATCAGTGGCGATAATGTTTCTTTGAAATGACCAGCGGCGGACATGGCTTCAACAATGGCCATCTCAAAGAAGACCGTCACGCAATGTAGCAGGCCGATGAGGCACAAGCCAGGCATGGTGATCAAGATGTCTCGCAATTGGAATGGATGCCATGGCACACGGAAGCAAGACATCAGGAGCAATCCCCTGTTTGTCTTCAAATTTGTTTTCGAGCCTGAAATCACAGCACGTGCACATTGCAAGCTCGATGTGGTTGGCCAACATGATGCACGTACCTGCAACAAGACGCTTCACCAATTAACAAATATCGCATACATCCTGATGTACTTTATTTTTAGGCCAGCACAGAAAATGCAAAGGTTTGAAGATGTTTGAAATCTGAGGCTGCTCTGATGACTTATGTGTTTCCTCTGCTTCCCAAAGGTGATGACAATCACAATGGCACAAACACGAGGCACATGGATTCGCAATAAATTTCAAAACAGAATAGTGGCACGCCAGAATACCCAAAAGATCCAAAATTTGCAATTGCGATTCAGAATCTGAGCGCCGCAAAAGCGTGCAATTTGAAGCCAAAATGCTCTGCAAGAGAGACGTGTTCAACCCCACGAGCACGCAGAATGGCAGTGCTGCGCGAGCCAATCGCGAGCACGAATTGCAAGGACTCCCCACCCGCAAGGAACGCCACCATCCAAAGGCAAGGATAAACTCAAAACTGAGGCTGCAAAAAAAAAGAGTTTTTTGTTGCAGCTGGTCATGGGCAGCAACAACGTGCAACGAGTAAATAAGATGTCACTGAAGTTGCTTGCGGATCACATTGGCAACACAAATTTCCATAGATTCTACAAACATGCTTCCAGAACGCATGCAAGTACAGTACCGCAGAGAGATATGAATGATGCAAACACCTTGTACTAACCTTGTGCAAACAAGAGTCAGTTAAAATGGCAGACACTACGCACGCTCTTATTCACCACCATGTTGCTGTGGAATGTTTGCACCACATTTGGACACATTTGGCAACGACTCGGCAATGGGATCGATTGTGTTGCAGTATGGAAACATTGCCTCGACTGCAAGCATTGCAGACAAATTCTGTATGTGATGTTGCTTGGCGTGCCTTATCAGGGTCACACATCCGGTCTCAATTGCACCCTCTGCATGGGTGACTTGCCCCGCCCCTCAACGCGCGTCCCCGTTTTCAAAGGTCTCTACAATCTCACAAAAATTCACACTTACACTTGTTGCCCACCTCCCCTACCCTTTTAAGCCTCCTCGGACCCACTCTTCCACAACAAGAGCTGAGTGATGCGTCAGCGGCACATCCTAGCCGTTAGCTGCTCCTAAGTAACCCAATAACGTGTTCAAAACACCTGCGATCGGAGCCATGCACCACGGACACATGTGTGCATACGCAGCTCACCCAAGCAATGCAATGCGAAAAATGTGTCGAATGCTTGAACTCAAGTTTCCTGAATTTAGGTTTTTTCGTCTAAAGGTATCATTTTGGCTCAAACCGTCTTGGCTCGGAAAAAATTAAATTCTTCTCAAATGTCGGAACATGCTACTCTGTTCAATTTGGATTTCCCCCGCCATTACCAATACTGCCAGGAAGGGTCCAATCTGGTCGTGAGGTACCTAAAGTGTTTTTGCAAATAATCTGCGTTTTCTCTTCACACGTGATTTGCCACCCACGTTTCAGAACGCCTGCCAACGGCTTTGAGAGCTTTGCCATGCCTCCGAAGATCATGCCCAAAGCACCCAACGCATCCTGGGCAACTCGGCCCACTCAACCTCAATCAAGTTTGTGACGCATAAAATGCAAGACATTTGTGGGCCTCTCGCGCGGCGAGCCTGTAAACACCCCTATGGTCATTGGTGCGGCCCCCTATTTTCTGGTCTGCTGCGGACGCTGCTTTCTGAACTTGATACACAAAAACTACGATCTTGTCTACCATCCATTTTAATTTCCCTGTAAGTTTTGCCGGCGGTGTGAATGAAGCTAGAACGAAAATTGTTGATCGAGCGTACGTGGTCGGGCTCATCTGGACGTAACTAGGACGAACCGGTTGTTGCTCTTGCGAAGATTCTGCACTTGCACACGTGTATGTTCGGGAGTGCTCACATGAAAACGCTAGTCGGTAACAGATTTTCGTTCAACTGATTGGATCAACAATGTGTGTGGGAGACCCAGTGGCTATCAGGTTATGGTAATTCGGTTTGTCCATACGTTCCCGCGCCTACACGCTCACTCTTACGGAGCCACAATCTGGCAGTCTGGGTCCTTTGCCCTAATTTTGGAAGAAACAAAGTAAACAAATTTGCAAGCGAAGATGCTTCCCCTGAAAAAATGGGATCTGCTCGAAAAAGCCTGGTGTGAAAGCCTAGTGTTGGTCGATACGCGCATTCGCTATTGCCAGGCAATCTGTCAGACCCGCGCGCCCGTTGCTTTCAGGGGGCAGGTATAAGGCTGTGAGAAAACAACCCGATACTACAATTTATGAAGTGTGCTGTGTGTTACTCGCCCAATAAAAGCAATATAGCATCATCTAAAGCACGCTGCTCCGTGCAAAATTTTCAAGAGCAGCACACCAATTAGCGTGTGGCCCAACAACACGTTAACAGAGAGCCGCGGCATCACATGGTTTGAAAGATCACCCTGCTGGGGCTGCGACCACCACCCACCCGCTTGTTTGAGGCGGCGATCCATGCTTACGGAAAAGATAAGCATCATATTATCACCATGCTGGCATGAAAGGAAGGTTGTCCGGATCGGTTTCTTGCAAATGGGGGGCGCGCCCCCCGCAATTCCCCCGAAAAAAACCATGAAACATAATTAAATTGTTGCCACGACACGCCAGTAACAGACAGGCGCCGGATTGAAACAGTCGCCAATGGCCAACTTGTGCGGCGGGCGGCCCAGGTTGCAATGCTGTCCCAGTTGCTGCAGGGCCGGTCATGGCACCAGTGGCAGTCACGGCACAGCAAGCCCCACCAATGGCTGCAGTGCCATGGTTGCCAGCAAATTGCCACACCTGCAGCAGCCACTGCTGCGCCCCTCCACTGTCAACACCACACCAGCACCCAAGGACAGCACACTGCGGACACCAATGGCGCCAGCAAAGGAAGCTGCAACTCCTGTGGCCAAGCCACTGCACCCAGCCAGCACAGCCATGCCAGGTCAGGGCCAGGACTTCTGGTAAAGTATAGTGTACTAGAGTATACTATACTACACTATACTACGTCATACTACACTATAGTATACTCGGAGGTTGAAGGTTCGGGACTTTGGGCCTTCACGGCTGTAAAGGCTTCGGCTTAGCTTGAATCAATTCTGCATTGGTATACTATACTAGGTACACTATGGTACACTAAAGAATACTATAGAACACTATAGTATGCGATAGTATGCTATAGTGTACTGTGGTGGCGGCTGTCATGGTTACTGTCTCATGGGGCACATCCAGCGTAGGAAACTGTGCAGAACTTTGTCATGCTTTCTGCCGCGAAGAAAGCCTCTGAGTCGAAGATCTGGCAAGAACAGGCACCAAATTTTACTGGTTCTTGTGAGGGGCTTTGTAGGCAAAGGTCTGCGCAGGGCATGTTGGTTTAGGGTTTCCAACATGCACAGAGCATATGCTGGCCGCCAAGTTAATAGTTCTAAGGCTAAAGGTGCTAAAAGTTCAGCGCCTGCCGGGAGGAGCTACGTAAAACTGAACATCTGCTACATTGTCTGTCCTGTTGAAAAAGATGCCACGAGCATACCAGTACCTTTGCGAGAGGCACCTGCGTTAAAGTGTTGAATGCAGTGGTGCCGGCTGGTGTTTGGTATGTAGCTGTAAAAACAACCATGATACAAGCAGGCAGGGCAAACAGCAAAGGCCCTACAGTACTGCGCTATAGTATACTCAAACTCTGGTATACTCTAGCATAGTATAGTATAGTATAGTATAGCATAGTATAGTATAGTATAGTATAAGGTAGCATAGCATAGTCTTGGTATGGTTCAGTACAGCACAATACAATATAGTAGAGTGTAATTAGTAGGTCATCCTGTACAAACTACACTGTATTATACTAAGATTTACTAGATTTACTAAGGTTTACAAGAGTATGCTAAGGTATGATGTTGTTGCAGCATACTGTCGTTTACTGTTGTGCACTCTATTATACTGTAACCTTCGAACAGGCCACAAACCTTGGCGCAGGCATTTCGAGTGTATGTACAAGTGGTCATCTGACCGTCACTGAACAACTGGCTCACGTGCATCAATCCGCTAAGAAGATACCTGGAAGGAGATCACTCAAAAGGGTGTCCAAGGCAAAGCCTACGACCCTTGAAATATCCAAGAGCGATCGATGCCACCATCGTCAGCCCAGTCACGCGAGCAGGCGAGGCCCAGCCTGGGGCTGACGCCCGGCCAGGCCAAGCCCTGGTTGGGGCAGCCCGCCGCAAGAGACGCCAAACGTACCCCGAGCTTGTGCGCGCCCGTCGCTGCCACTTGGTGGTCGTTGGTGTCGAAGTCGGAGGCCGGTTCAGTACCGAAGCTGCCACGTGGCTACGCTTGCTTGCGCGCCACCGTGCATCTGCGGCCCCCGCAGCTAT